TAAGCAGATCCCTCCATCTTGTTTTTCCAAAGGAGTATCTTGGTTATTCTTCGGCCTTTGCAAAGGAGTATCTTGGTTATTCTTCGGCCTTTGCAACTTACACAAACATTTAAATCAGCTTACCATGTGCCACAAAAATTTATTTTGTGATTTTGATTAGAATTCCCTTGAATCCTCAGATCAGTTTGAGGAGAATTGACATTTTATTAGTTGAAGTTTCTAGTTTGTGAACCTGGTAGTTTTATTTTAAAGTCCTCTCGTGTCTTTGAATATATTTTTTTTACTAATCTGCTTTCATAAAGTTTTTAACTCTTCCCCATCCAGTAAAAAATTTTGTTAGATTTATTCATAGGTACTTACTTAAAATACTGTTACAGGTGGCATAATATTTATTGTGATAAAATATGTACATAACAAAATCTATGATTTTAACCCTTTTTGCATGTACAATTTAGTGGCATTAAGTACATTCACATTGTTATGCAATCTTTACCACTATCCATCTGTAGAATTTTTCCATCATCCCAAACTGAAACTGTACCGATTAAACAATACTCCCTTCCAACCAGCCCCTGGTAATCACTATTCTACTTTTTTAATTTGAATTTGACTAATATAACTGCCTCATGTAAGTGGAATCATAAATGGTGTGTTTTTAACAATACTTTTTTTATTTTTAGTGAAGAACTACAATCAGTGTTTTATTAAATTGGTTTTTATATTTAACAACCTTGCTTAAAATACTTATTCTAATAATTTAGCTATATTTGGGTTTTCTATATAAATAAGTATATATGAATAAAAAAGGCTATTCCTATAATAAATCTGCTCATTGACTTTTAAATTTTAATGTTATTTTTGAATATATGTTGTTTGACTCATTTTCCAATCTGTTGGTTACCTCTTCTTATCAGGCTTCTTCTATTTCTTTTAACCTATTAAGTATCTTTGATATCCAGTTCTGATATAAACTCTTTGGCAGTCTGACTCTGCTACTTATTTTTAGTAGTGCTTTGTATTTTGTTGTATAAACTAAATTCTTGACCCAAGAACCATTTGGGAATCATTTGGCAGTTTGAATTTGAGCTCTCCACTTATAAGATGGCTGGGCTGGTTTATGGTCATGACTTTTCAGGATTTGTTGTTGCTTTGTGCTGAGGGGAAGGGGGGATTTCACTAGGGCAAGTTTTATAATCCTCTGGGGAGAATTTCTAGCTCACTCATACACTGAGGGTGTACGTTAAGTTTTCACTTAATGTCATTGATAGATTCTTGGAAACTGTGGCAAACAAGTTTTATCATAGGCCAAGTGATAAAAACAACAGTTAAGCTCCTAAGATACAAATAAGTGGAAACATACACCATGTTCACAGGTAGGAAGAATTAACATCGTTAAAATGTCCATACTACCCAAAGCAATCTATAGATTCAGTACAATTCTTATTAAGATACCAATGACATATTTCACAGAACTAGAGCAAATATTCCAAAAATTTATATGGAACCACGAAAGACCCCAAATAGCCACAGCAATCTTGAGAAAGAAGAACAAAGTTGGAGGAATCATGCTACCTGATATCAAACTATACTACAGGCTGTAGTAATCAAAACAGCATGGTACTGGTAGCTCAAAGAACTTAGTGAGAATTATAAGAAACTTTGTGGGAACGACAACCGCATGTAAAAGGACATAGAAAGAATGAATAAAAACCAGTTGGATATGAGGAAAACCATATATGACATCAAGAATACACTGGAAGGAATTAAAAGGTTGGATGAAGCAGAGGATTGAATCAGTGATTTGTAAGACAATGTAGAAAGACACCCTATCAGAGCAGCAAAAAGAAAAAAAGAGTTTAAAAGAATGAAGGTAGTTTAAGGGAACTTTGGGACACATGAAACAACATATGCATCTTAGGGGTGCCAGAAGAAGAAAGTGAGCAAGGTATAAAGAACCTGTTTGATAACTATGAGGAATCTAATGAACAAAATAAACTGACGAACAAAATAGAATCACAGTCATGGATACATGGAACAGACTCTCAGAGGTCGGAGGGGTGGGTATGAGCTGGATAAAAGGAAGGTGAAGAGAGTAGCCAAAGAACATATATACAGAGCCCATGGACACAGGCAACAGAGTGTGAAGGCCAGGGAGACGGGGAGGGGGGCTAGGTGGAGGGGGGCAATGGGGAGGGATGTGGGGGACATCTGTGATGGTGTCAACAATAAAAAACAACAACAGACATATAGATCAATGGAACAGAATAGAGTCCAGAAATAAACCCATACCTCTATAGGCAATTAATATTTGACAAAGGATGCAAAAACATACAATGGGGTAAAGGTAGTTTATTCAATAAATGGTGTTGGAAAATGGTGTTTGAAGATAGATACCTTCAAAAGAATGAAACTAGACCACCTTTTTTTTTTTTTTTTTTAATATGTCTTTATTGACTTCAGAGAGGGGAAGGGAGAGGGGGAGAGAGAGATAAAAACATCAATGATGAGAGAGTCATTGATCGACTGTCTCCTGCACGCCCCCCACTGGGGATTGAGCCTGAAATCCGGGCAAGTGCCCTGACCGGGAATCAAACCACGATCTCCTGGATCATAGGTCGATGTTCAGCCACTGAGCTACGCCCTGCCAGGCTAGACCACCTTACACCATACACAAGAATAAACTCAAAATGAATTAAAGACTTACATGTTACACTTGAAACCATAAAAATCCTAGAAGAAGACGTAGGCAGTAAAATCTCAGCCATTTCTTGTAGCAGTATTTTTTCTGATATATCACCCCAGGCAAGAGAAACAAAAGAAAAAATAAAAACAAATAGGAATACATCAAACTAAAAAGTTTTCGCACAGCAAAGGAAACCATCAACAAAATGAAAAGACAAATGTCTCACCAAATGGGAGAACATATTTGCCAGTGATATATCTGATAAGGGGTTAATTTCCAAAATTTATGAAGAACTTGTAAAACTCAACACCAAGAAAACAATCCAATTTAAAAATGGGCAGAGTACCTGAATAGACACTTTTCCAAAGAGGACATAAGATATGAAAGAGGCCAATTCATAAGAAAAGATACTCAACATCACTAGTCACGAGAGAAATGTAAATTAAAACCACCTCATGCCTGTCAGAATAGCTGTTACCAGTAAACAAACAAGTGTTGGTGAGGATGTGGAGGAGGGAACCCTCGTGCACTGTTGGTGGGAGTGCAGATTGGTGCCGCCACTGTGGAAAGCAGTGTGGAGTTACCTCAAGAAATAAAAAATCACTTCTGAAAATATATCCGAAGAATCCCAAAACAGTAATTCACCCCTGTGTTCACTGCAGCATTATTTACAATAGCCAGGATTTGGAAGCAGCCCCAGTTTGTCTGTCAGTGGATGAGTAGATTAAAAACTAGTACATTTACACAATGGAATACTACTCAGTGTCAGAAAGGATGATTTTTTACCCTTTGAGACAGCATGGATGGACCTGGAGGGCATTATGCTAAGTGAAATAAGCCGGTCAGAGAAAGACATGTACCATATGGTTTCATTTACATCTGGAATCTAATGAACAAAATAAACTAACAAAATAGAAACACTCATGGATAGAGAACATACTGAGAACTGTCAGAGGGGAGAGGTGTTGCGAGGCTGGATTAAAAATATTGAAGGAATTAAGCACAAAAATATAAAACTAATAGACAACAGTATGGTGATTACCAGAGGGAAAGGGGGTGGGGGGAGTAGAAGAGGGTATAGGGGAGATGTGGTGAACACAATACAATATATAGATGACATATTATAGAATTATATACCTGAATCCTACATAACTTTATTAACCAATGTCACCCCAATAAATTCAATGTCAAAGTAGATAACTTTTGCATGGCAGCCCCCCAAAAAGTGTTAACCTCGTAAGGTATATATCTGGTCAAAAAACATCACCAAACTTCTAAATAAAGACCCACAATACTTCTAATACTAAACATTGAAATAAATGTGAGCTGTACATACCTTAAGAAAGATGAATAAAAATAAGTAAGATCATCTTTTCCAACCCACTGATTCCAGTTCAGGTTGGTCAGTGGCTGGAGTCTCTCCCAGCACCTCAGGGTGCAAGGTGGGACCCACTTCCATCACAGGGCCACTCATATCCATGCTCACTTAGACTAGGACTGTAGACACACCAGTTTACCTCCCATGCACGTCTTTGGGATGTGGTTGGAAACCAGAGTCCTTAGAGAAAAGCCACATGGACATGGGGACAATGTGTCAGCTCCACACAGACAGTGGTGACCCTGACCCGGAATCCTCTTTGTTTTCTCATCAGCATTGTAATGAAATGGCATTATTGAAGGACCTGCTGTATTAGGGTCTCTGCTTCATGAGAAATTGCCTGTTAGACATTCCACCTTTAGCAGACTGTGGGCTTTGCTTCCTATTTTTTTCCTACAATGCTTTGAAAATCTAAGCTTGTATTTTTTTTTAGTGATTCCAGTTAAGTTTTCCTCTTTCACTTGGTTTTTACCCTCTTGCTAGCTCATCAAGGCATAACTTTTTAAATTAAGGTAACATTGGTTTATAACATTACATAAGTTTTTGGTGTGCAACATTATAATTTGATACATGTATACATTATAGCATTCTCACCACCAAAAGTCTAGTTTCCATCTGTCACCTTACATTTGACCCCCTTTACCCATTTCACACCCACACCCACACCCCCAACCTCCTTCCTCACTGGTAGCCACCCGTCTGTTGTTGTATCTGTGAGTCTGGTTTTTTAACATTTTATCAGGGCATTTTAAGTTCTTTTCATTAAGTGTAAATCAGACATGGTAACAAATTCACCATATTGTTGGATATTCCTATATCATTTTACTATGTCATTTGTAGTTGTTTTGGAAAGGAAATACGGGGTTAAATGAGCACCTTAAAAATTTATAAATGCAAAATGGAGAGTAGCCTTTTACAGTTGCTAATTAATGATTCTTTTTTTTTATAGGTGTCAGCTGTGATGCATGTTTAAAAGGAAATTTTCGAGGTCGCAGATATAAGTGTTTAATTTGCTACGATTACGATCTTTGTGCGTCTTGTTATGAAAGTGGTGCAACAACAACAAGGCATACAACTGACCACCCAATGCAGTGCATATTAACAAGGGTAGATTTTGGTACGTATTTAATACTATTTTAGTGGATTATCATTTAGAATTTTATGTGCATATGTGTGAAGAAGTAAAGGCAAAATGTTCCCAATAGCATACATGAAGCTCCAAATTTATTTTTAAAAAAAACGAACTTTTATAAATTCTGAGTAATTCTTTCTCCTAACCATAGTATACTTGTTTATGAAAGCCATTCAGAAACATATGTAACTGACAAGATATGAAATGGAAGAGTGCCTCAGTAAAGAAGGAATAAAGTTAAACTGCCTGTTCTTGCTAATAGTATACAGGTATTCTTGCTCTAGTTACCAGAAAACAGATTATTTCTACAATTGATCAGAAGACATTGTCAATCCGTAAGAAAAGCTATAAATGTTTCATTGCTATAATTTCTTACATAGTCCGCTCTTGTTATGATCTGTCTTTTTGATTATAGTCACAAAAGACGTAGTGGGTGTGAAGTGGTATCTCATGTGGTTTTTGATTTGCATTTCTCTGATGGCTAATGATGTTGACCATCTTTTCTTGTGCTTATTCACCATTTTATGTATACTTTGGAGAAATGTCTGTTCAGATCCTTTGCAGGTATTTAAATTGGGGAATATATTTTAACAATATTTTGTTATTGAGTTTTAATAGTTCACAGTTCATTGTATATTCTATATACAAGTTCCTCATCAGATGGATGGTTTGCAGAAATTTTCTCCCATTCCATGGGTTGTCTTTTCACTTTCTTGATGGTGTGTTTTGAAGCACAATAGCTTTAATTTTGTTGATGTCCAGTTTATCTGTTTTCTTCCCCTTACATTATGCTTTTGGTGTCATCTAGGAAACCTTTTGCCTAATTCAGGATCACAAAGATTTAAAACTATGTTTTCTTCTAAGAGTTTTATAGTTTTTAACTTTTACATTTAGATCTTTGATCCATTTTGACTTAATTTATGCTATGGAATGAGGTAGAGATTCAACTTGATTCTTTTGCATGTGGATACTCAATTGTCCCAGCATCATTTGTGGAAAAGACAGTTCTTTACCCAGTGAAATATGTTTTGGCATTCTTGTTGAAATCCAGTTGACCGGGGAAGGGGGAAATAGAGTGATGTTGGTCAAAGGGTACAAAGTTTTGTTATGCAAGATGAATAAGTTTTAGAGATGAGTTAAGTACTAATGCACAGCATGGTGACCATAGTTAACAATATTGTATTCTATATCAACAAACACACATACACAATGGTAACTATGTAGAGGTGGTGGATACATTAATTAGGTTGATTGTGGTGATCTTTCCTCTGTATAAATCATCAAAACATCAAGTTGTATAGCATTAATAAGTATAATTTTTATATGTCAAAGGTATCTCAATAATGCTCTTTAAAAAGTTAGTCAGTCATAAATACCAGTGTTTATTTCTGGACTCAAGCTATTTCATTGATTTATATGTCTATCTTTATGCCAGTACCACGCTGTCTTGATAATTGGCTTTGTAGTAAGCTTTGAAATCAAGAACTGTGAGTCTTGCAGCTTTGTTGTTTTTTAAGATTAATTTGGGTATTCTAGATCCCTTAAGTTTCCGTGTAAGTTTTGGCTCAGTTTGTCAAGTTTCTGCAAGGAATCCAACAGGGATTTTGATAGAAATTGTTTTGAATCTGTAGATCAGTTTGGAGAGTAATGATATTAAATCTGTCAGTCTATGAACATGGGATATCTTTCCATTTATTTGGGTCATCTAATTTTTTTCAACAGTGTTTTATAGTTATCAAAGAATAAGTTTTATGCTTCTTTCATTAAATATATTCCTGAGTATTTATTCTTTTTGGTATTATAAATGGAATTTTTAAAACTTTATTTCTGTATTTTTTTACTGCAAGTATATAGAAAAGCAACTGGTTTTTGTATAAAGAACTTGTCTCCTGTGATGTTACTGAACTGATTATTACTTCTAATAGTTTTTTAGTGGATTCCTTAGGGTTTTCTATATCTAAAATCATGTCATTTATTAGAGGTAGTTTTATTTTTTCCTTTCCATCTTGATGGCTTTCATGTCAGTTTCTTCCCTAATTACTTTGGTTAGATCCTTCAGTAAAATATTGAATAGAAATGGCAAGAGTGGACATTCTTGTCTTGTTTCTGGTCTTAGGGGGAAAGCATCCAGTCTTTCACCAGTATGATGTTAGCTGTGCCTTTTTTGTAGATGCCTTTTAACAGGTGAGGAAGTTCTGTTATTTTTCATATATTTATCCCCACCTACCCCAAATTTACCGGGCAAGTCAATGGTCAATATATATGTAGTGGGTACATATTTTTAAGGTGGTTTAAATCTCCCTAAAAATTAATGTGAACAAATTAATCATGTAGTGAACACTTCCTTCCATTTTCTCCTCTCACAAAAGTGGTCATATCCTTTTAAATTAGGCATTTGTTTCATGTTAAATAATGAGATAGTTCTTTGTAATGAAGTGACATAACCTACTAAATATACTCTTTTTTAAAAACTATATCTTTATTGATTTCAGAGAGAGGAAGGGAGAGAGGGAGAGAGAGAGAGAAACATCAATGATGCGAGAGTCGTCATTGATCGGCTGCCTCCTGCACTCCCTCGACTGGGGATCGAGCCCACAACCCAAGCATGTGCCCTGACCAGGAATCGAACCTCGATCTCCTGGATCCTAGGTCAATGCTCAGCCACTGAGCTATGCCTGGCTGGGCGTAAATATATTTTCAGTTACATTTTTTGTGTATACTACAAATGGAGGAAAATAGACTTCTTCCTTGAGATATACTAATGAGGTAAACAGATTATTCTCACCCTCTCACTAATTGGTGTGCTCTTCACTGCTGAGTTGAGCTAAGTATGTTGTGGTAGTGTACTGTTCAAGTTAGCATTGCAAGAACTGAATGCCCAGAGTCCTTCCTGCTGTAAGAAGGGTAATTGTTCTATAGCCGAAACTGCATCTGGGAGTTAGTATGTTGATCATGGTCATCTGCTTTTTCCCTCTGAGCACTTGTGTTCTTATATATGATACACCCTGCTGATTTTTTTGCGTCGACATTGGTATTTCCACAGTATATACACAGAGAAAAGTAAATTACAATAAAATTTTAACCAAGAACTCGCCAGGTAGCTCAGTTGGTTAATGGCATGGTCCTGATATGCCAAGGTTTCGAGTTCGATCCCCGGTCAGGGCACATACAAGAATCAGCCAGTAAATGCATAATTAAGTGAAACAACAGATCTCACTCTCTCTATTCTCACCAATAAATAAATTTAAAATAAAATAAAATTACAACCAGATGTGAAATGAGAGATGTTTTAACATTAAACGGAGGGATTAAAGAGCTCTTTGCTTTGGTTTTTCTCATGCCGAAATAGCTGTGTGCAAAAGGAACTTGGAGAAGGAGTCCTTGAGAATAAGGGTGTAACTGTAAAGCACACATTGGCAGTGAGGTTGCTGGTAAAGATTTTCTGCACACTTTTTTAATAAACTGTACCACACAATTACATTCTTATATATTTAAAAACTAATAATAGTTATCAGTGCAATTCCACTTTATTTTTCAGATTTGTACTATGGAGGGGAAGCGTTCTCTGTAGAGCAGCCACAGTCTTTTACTTGTCCCTATTGTGGAAAAATGGGCTATACGGAGACATCTCTTCAAGAACATGTTACGTCTGAACACGCAGAAACATCAACAGAAGTGGTAAGTAAAGCAGCCTCGTGACTAAAATGATAGGGTAAAGTGCATTATGTCTAATATAAATAAAGCTAGGTCACTATCATGTACCTTTTAAGTTTGCATAATAATTACTAAAATTATCTCTTAACAGCAAATTTTACACATCCTAGGAGACGGCTTGTTTGCAAGATAATGCCCCTCATTTGTCCACGCTATTCATTCAAGCCCTATTGCTAGAAGCAGAGTGTAGAATCTTGATCAAATTCAGGAGCCTTCAGAAAATGCATTGTGAGAAGATTAAAAGCACCTCAACCTGTCACGCAGCTCTTTTTATAGTATTCTTGCCACCTGCCTAGTTTTTCTTCTATAAGGAAACCTTCACAAGGAAATGTAAAAACCTTTAGTCACATATTAAGTAATAATCAGTTGTCACATCTCATTGACTTTACTGTATTTGGTTTTTATCAGATCACATCTCTTGCTTCGTAGCTCAGAGCTCTGAGGTCTTTAGAAGTTCCTCACATTATGGTCTTTTCCAGTAGCTAAAAGCCGAAGACATAGAACAATAAACAGAGTCTCACCTTGAAAGCTTCTTAGATATTTTACTTGACATCTGATTTCAGCATATATCCAACTTCAAGAAATGACCCGAAAGAGTCCCCTCCCCCTCTTTACCATTGGTTATAATAAAGTAAGAGGTGAGAAGGAACTGTAGGTGTGGAATTTGGAGACTCTTGGCACAAGCAGTAGTATATTGCATCAACTAATAAGCCCCTAAATGTATTCAAAACAAATTAACTGAAATGGAAGAAAAAGAAAAGTGTGTCCAAGGACATGCAGCTAGTAAGGGGCAGAGCCAGGTGTTTGAACTCTGCCAGAATCCCTCTGGATTGTAGAGTCTCTGCTTAACCCATGTCCTTTTTTTTTTTTAACATATCTTTTTTGATTTCAGAGAGAGGGGGAGAGAGAGATAGAAATATCAGTGATGGGAAAGAGTCATTGATCAGCTGCCTCCTGCACGCCCCCCAACTGGGGAATCAAGCCGACAACCTGGGCATGTGCCCTGACCAGGAATCGAACCTCGATCTCTTGGATCCTAGGTTAATGCTCAACCGCTGAGCCACACCTGGCCGGGCAACCCATGTCCTGTTTTATCTCCACTGCAGCTCTGCTGTTACAGCTGTGAATAAAATACAGGTTCACTTTCATTCCCGTTTACATTGCTAGCTTGATGCTTCAAGTTGTTAAAGATTTATCCTTCAAACAGTTGGTAAATTTACATTATGTCATCCTCAAGCCCAATTTTGCTGCCTGATGACTCAGAAATGCTCTTATCTTGCATGTTGGGAAGCCTGAGAACACTGTTGTCACATTTCACTACTGTTCTTAATTCATTGTTTTTATTCTGTCAAGGCGACTTTGCTTCCTTTGGGTACAGTCCCAGACACCAGTGTGAGGAATGCTGACTTGATTGCATCTTCAAAAACTTGGAATAAGTTCTCCTTGATTTAATTTCTGTCAGGTTTGGGTACTTGATTTACGTAGGTCACTTTGTACCTGCCTACAGGATTTAAGGATCTCACTCCTCTAACCATTTAGAACCATTTGGAACCTTTAGGGGCAAGAGGATATATCACTGCAGATGCCACTGTCACCACTAGTGCGATTTCCTGGCACCTGACATAGCCAGCGAGAAGGCCTGCTGAAGGTTGATTTTGAAAAGAACTTTGTAGTCCTTGTCTATGTTTTTCTGTTTCCCTTTTTAGCTAGGGACTCTAACGCCCCAACGTGAAGATTTTTCTCCCTTCTTAAGATTAATCTAAGATTACACACAAGGTTTTTTATTTCGAGAGTATGATATCTGACATAGAATGCATAGTGAAGGTGATTACTAGTTAAAAATTTAAAAAGCAGATTGGGTGTAGTCTCAGGAGTCTTTATGTAAACACCAAATATAAACAATGATTTTGAGCCCTGCTGGTGTGGCTCTGGTTGAGCGTTGACCTGTGATCCAGGAGTTTGAGGTTCAAATTCTGGTCAGGACACCTGCCCAGGTTGCAGGTTCAGTCCTCAGCAGGGGCCCTGCAGGAGAAGGCCGATCAGTGACTCTCTCATCATTGATGTTTCTATCTCTCTCTCTCCCTCTCCCTTCTTCTCTCTGAAATTAATAAAAACATTTAAAAAGACAACAAAAAATACATTACAGTGTGATTTTGAAATTAAGTACAAGTTCTTAAAATCCCTCATAGTTATCATGCGATTTTATAGTTGAGACAACTAACTGGATTTTGATTGTGGAAGAATTAAGAGGGGAAGTAGCACTGTGTAGGTATCAGAATCCATCAGTCTGGTGGCAGTAGTAGAAGTGAACAGTAGAAGGCAAACGCCCCTTCTCAAGCCCCCTCTGGAGAGTAATAAAAACAAAGAAATATGTTAAATAAAAAATAGAAAAAGACTGCTATTAATTATGAACAAAATAATATAATGTAGATTTCTAGAAGTGAGGAAAAAATGTTGGTAAACCAAAACGGGAGGGAATGTCTCACTAGCAAATAGGAAGCACCCTTTTTGATGAAAACCTAGATAGGTTTTTACCAAATTGAATTTAATTCTGAAGTAGCATGGTAGTATTTTGTTCCAGTTATACTAATTTGATAGGAAGTAATAATCAAGGATCCCGGCTGGGCGTGGCTCAGCCGTTGAGCGTCAACCTAGGATCCAGGCGATCGGGGTTCGATTCCCGGTCAGGGCACATACCCGGGTTGCGGGCTGCAGCCGATCAATGACTCTCTCATCATTGATGTTTCTCTCTCTCTCTCCCTCTCCTTTCCTCTCTCTGAAATCAATAAAGATATATTAAAAAAAAAAAAGAAAAAGAAATAATAAAGGAGAAAAATTATTTTGAAATTTTCCACAATCTGACTTTAGACAATTTTATTTTTATTTTTTGTTAATCCTCACCCGAGGATATTTCTTCCATTGCTTTTTAGAGAGAGTAGAAGAGGGAAAGGGGGAGAGAGAGGGAGAGAGATCTATGTGATTGGTTGCCTCCCCCCACGCGTCCCAAGTGGTGCTGGGGATCGAACCTGCAACCCAGGTATGTGTCCTTGACCGTGAATCAAACCCAAGACCCTCTGTGTGCAGGCTGACGCTCAGCCACTGAACCACACCAACCAGGGCTAGACTTATTTTATTTTGAATAATCTTATGGAGAAAAATGATGGCATAAAAGGGCATAGAAATTTTTTTTTTTTTAAATTTCAGAGAGGAAGCTAGAGATAGAAACATCAGCGATGAGAGAGAGTCACTGATTGGCAATGAGAGAGAGTCATTGATCAGCTGCCTCCTGCACACCCCCCCCTTCCTCCCCGGGGGGATCGAGCCCGCAACCTGGGCACATGCCCTGACTGGGAATCAAACCTTGATCTCCTGGATCATAGGTTGATGCTCAACTGCTAAGCCTCGCCGGCTGGGCACAAATCTTTTTTTAATGATTATAATAATCAGTTTTAGCAGATAATGTTTTTTTTTTTTTTAATTTATTGATTTTTAGAGGAAGGAAAACATTGATTTGTTATTACACTTATTTATACATTCACTGGTTGATTGTTGTATATGCCCTGACCGGGGACTGAATCCACAACCATGGTGTATTGGGACGGCACTCTAATCTCAGATACGCAGCCAGGACACATGTGTTTAATACGTAAACAGTTGTTTGAGTGTCAAGTAAAAGGAACCATAGAGCACAAAGTAGAAATTATCATCATCAATACGGCATTTTGTTTGTAAACAATTAGGTACATTTGATATAATTTCTCAACACATATATTTCCTTATTGAGAGCAATAATTGTGAGTGAACCACAAATTTCCCAAATATTTTAAATGTAATCTTGTACACTTTCTAAATATTATAATCACCTACTTACCTATATAATCAGGTTTTCAGGAAAGGTAAGCATTTAAAAGCCAAATACACATTAAAAGGGAAAAAAATAGGCTTTGATTGTTGCTGCTTGCATTCTTCTTCATTAAAGACTGCAGTTGGATACTGTCTGCCCTGTGAACTAACAACAGTATTTAATAATAGTGGAGAAACAGGTTTTGAAAAATACAGTTGCTACAGGCATATTGCCATTAAGCTGCATTCAGCTAGAAAGATTATAGATCATCAGGATGTGGTGCTATTACCATTTGCTTTTCATTACTTTTGACTCAAAACACTTTCTGTTTTATAGATCACTCTTTTCTGTCTTTAGTATTTGGCTGTCTTTGCATAGTTTTTAATAATAGTTATTTTTAGCACATTTAGTTATTTAAAATCAGATAGTAGTGCTTTTGATTTTTAAGGGTGATACAGCCATTAGTATACCAGCAGATTTTTGGGTTGATAGGGAAGGAAATGATGGGAGACGCTTTGGATATTTCACATTTGTTCTGGCATAATCCTGTGTGTATGTGTCAGGATACTGTTAGGATACTTCTATAAGAAAGCAGTTTCTTAAGGAGAATCACGGAGATTATCATGAAAATGAGGTAATAGTAGCTCTTCCAGGAAGGTGTCTGTGCCTGCTATTGAAAGTATGTTGTTATCTATGGGTAGGGTTTCCTTACTCTGTGCTTTCCTCCGTGTTGAATTAAAATCCTGCAGGGGAAAGTGAACAGGCAGTTTTCAGAATGGGAAGAACACATAATATGAAAGGAAGTGCTAGGTAAGGGAGCAGTAGTTATTAGAGACATTCATTTTGAATTCTTTTTTTCTTTGGCCACTGGTCTGGTTTCTTCTTTGTCCTATGAAATACTGGTTTGTCTAGTTCTGTGTTGAGATAGTTAATTTCAGTTAGGTGCAGAGAATGTTTTGCAGGGCTTGCAGGAAGATTTGTAGGGAGTGTAGTATAAATGAAAGAAGAAAGCTCTCTGGCATTTGTTGGCAAATTATAAGGTAGCTCAGAAGTTCTTAATGTACTTTTCAGCCTTCTCTTCTCCTTTTGCCCCTTTTCCCACTATGCTCCTCACATTTAA